ATCAAGAAATTTTGTGACTTTATTATAGTATAGGTAATGATATCTTTTTCCTAATAGAGCAAAAAACAATAGCAAATGATCTTTTTCGTCTAATAGATAGTATACAAATCTCTTCAACAAGTGGAGCATCTAAAAATAATGGAGCAAAGTTTCGCAAACCTAGTCAATTTTCTTCTAACATGTAAATAGAAAATAGTCAAGAATGTTATAATGATAATGAAAATTTTAGTGATTCAACAATTACAGAAATTACAGAAATTTCGAAAATTCTAATTAATGATATTGAAAATATAGATCCCCACTCTATTCATAGACGTAATACTACAAGAGTCCATAATAAATGTTGAACTTACTCTCAAGCTGTAAATTTATTAGCATTTAATTAGTTATTTATTTAATAATCATATTTACTAATTTTATTTTAATAAATAGATACATAGTGATAGATAAGAAAATGATACCGCTTTTACTACCAAAAGATCTCTCAAAGAACTTTTTCTTGAAAAAATGTGTAATTGGAATTCTAGAGAATTTACGAATATAGCAGTAACAAAAAGGCTATAACTTGATGATGATCTAGTTGAAAATAGCATAAAATTATATAGGTGGATCAATAATTGAAAAGCTCATGAAAAAAATTTAAAGGATCATTAAAGCTAGTGTTGAGTATTAGTATGTGCTATACTAAATTATATAATAAATGCAAATATGTATATAATAGTAGATATTTTTTACATATTAATTCTTTTGTTAGTATATATATATATATATACTTATACAGTAATATATGCTTATATGTATAGTTTTACTGTCAATTATACATATTGTGTATGTATAAAGCTTTCTCAATTATATAATTGAGTATGTCTTTAACATTAAAAAATTCAAAAATAATAATAAGTGTCAAACCTATTTAGAATTTAGGACTAGAATTCTTAGAGCATGCATAAACTTTAGTGGCAGTAGAGTTTATAATTTCAGTTAGAGATCATAATTTTTAGCTATATATAGCATTAATTATTTTCTCAAAGTTAATATTTTTACTAGTAATATTAGTAAGGTCAGTTATACATTCGTACGTATAATAATATTTCTTAACTCTTAGAACGTAAGATATATTTCAACTTAGCATATATTTTATGTATCTCATTCAATATAAGTCTTTTTTTTTTATATTATATTTTCTATAATTATTTTACGTATTAATACAAATTAAAATTAAAATTGCATTTCTTTACGCAAAATATATATAATATATAGTAGGTTTCAGCATTTGGAATTTTTATTACTAAATATTCTAAATCAATTAATATGACAATATGCTACATACATACGTAGTATGTAAACTTTGTAATACTGATACTATAACTAGTAGTGCTAAGTGATTATTAATAATACATATAAACGACTATATTTTATACTATGTTATAATATAAACAGTATCAGTATAATAAGGAACAGTCACTTTTCAAAAACACTCTTTCTGTAGATCATTTTGACCATTTCTGAAGCTAAAAGAAAAACAGAAATAAGTCAAAATCTAGACTAAAAAACAGTAGTAGAGAGACTAATTAAAAAGAAAAATAACCAGAAACTACACATATTATATTAGAAGAACAAGAAAAAG